CAGCAGGAACTGCAAGCTTCAAAAGATTCATTGCGTATGGAAAAAACTTCTCCTGCCTAAAGTCAAAGAAAGAATGCCAGCAGAGGCAAGACTAAGTATGCAAGTCAGAGGGACAACTGTAAACCACATGAACTGTAAATCATGTAATTATTCTACTTTCTCAGATTATACAAAATACATTTTAACTTGATCTTTGACTGAATATGATAGTCACTGCGTAAGTACAGAAACCGAAGACTTCTGTGATAAGAAAATACTAATTTAATTTCTGAATTTAAACAGAAAGTAACACTAATTTCTCAATTTAAACTATCCTGAAAGTTGACAAAAGTAATCTGATTAATCAAACACAATTAAGAGATCATTAATTATTTTTTTAAAATGTTTTGTACTTTCATTACCTTTTGCATTTTTGCAGTGTCCAGAGATTTCACAATTCTGCTGAACTGCTGAAGACCAAGCTCTTCTAGTTGAAAAGTAGCCAGATAACAAATAACTATCAAAAGATACATACTATTAAAATGCAGCAGGAAATTCTAATAAACTTATATCCTACACTCAGTACACTCGGGGATTTAGACTGTTATTTTAATTTTAAATAGTCTTCAATATTGTTTATCTACCTGAGCAATATAATGCTTGACGATGAAAAACTGTAATATGAAGCTATAATATAATGTTAACCCTATGTTCATTATTAGCATTGTGACTCTATGCTATGGTTCATATAAATTAGTTATCTCCTTCATGAGCCAGATCCAAGCTAGTGCAAATCTACACAATTTTATGGAAATTCTAACAGCTGAGGATCTAGCCACTTACACAAAAAATGTAAAATAATCATAGTTATCTGAAGTCATTCACAGAGGTCCGTTTGGTGCCTGCAAATATCTGTTTGCAAAACTGGGAGATCTACTACAGCAGCATGTGGAATCCTGTAAGGCCAAGGGTAAGATCTTGCCATGATTTCACAGTCATTTTGTTATGCCAACATCACCAGTAAAACAAGCAGCTCTGTCAACCCCTAATTGCTTGTTCCCATCCCCTCCTTTTACTTCCTGGTGTTTCTTCTCTTGGACAAGTACAGTCACCCACACAGCCACATTAAAACAGATTGTAAATTTTAACCTGAAGCACTTTCTCGATCAGTTCACTGGATGGCTGCTAAACACAAGTTCTAACTCAAGAGCAGATATGACATAGGGGTGAGAATGAGTGGCCAGTGATGAGAAAAAGGGCGGCCTGTTTCTTTGGGTAGTAGTACCAGCTTGTACAACAAATATGTGCATATTCCATGTGTGAAATTCTGTGTTGGTCTGGGAACAAGGCAGGGAGAATAGGAGTCAGATGGCTCCTGAGAGACATGACTGAAAAGTTTCTGACAGTATTGCATTCTTGGAAATAGTTCTTTTTTAGTGTAACCAAAATTTTCAGCGTAAGCAAGGTTATTCTGAGAAAATTTAATGTGAACAGGAGACATAAAAGAAAGTTTTGATAGTTAATTTTTCAACATACTCTGTTTTTAATGTTTTCAGAGAGGATAGCTCTTATTCTTCTGTTCCAGAATCATAGTTTATTTTACATAACAATATTATACGTAACAAAAATTCTAAACATAAAATACCATATTTCTAGTATTTATTTTCCTTTTTTTCTTTGCAAGTGACCGTTTTGCAGAAAATGTTGTAATCTTTGTTTTTATTCTGAATTAGAATAAAATCAAGTTTTTAAAGGGTGAAATTCTCTGGGAAATCCAAATCTGATTCTTGCACTCCACTCTGGCAAGTATGCAGCTGAATACAGGAAGAGGCAGTCAAGGCTGTGAGATTTTTGCAGACCTGTGAAGTTCATGAGCTCCTGCATCAGCTTTCATTTGACCATATTCACTTTGATCAATCAGGTTTCACTTGCTCTGCAGTATTTTAGCTGCTACCAAACAGTAATGATAAAATCAGTAAATTCTGACCAATGTGCTGCAGCCAACTCAGTGTATCGTTAGGCTTCAATCTTGTGCTTTAGCATGGCAACATATTTAAGCAGTCTTAGTAGAATATACATTTATCTCCTACAAGCTTTATTAAATTCAAATCTGCTCACACATAGCAACAGCCTTTATAAGCAGCTTTGATCATTTAAGTGTCAATGCAGCTTGGCAAAGGGAATCACAAGCAGCTTAAAAAATGTAAGCCAATGACCTTAGACTCTCAACTTGTTGATAAAGGAAAATTTTCTGTGGCCTACCCTCTGCCTATGATTAATGGACGCTTTTGAGTGGACCAGTCCTGACAATCCAATTATAGCAACACTCAGCTTAAAGGTATAATTTATCTGCCCCAGACACTGAAAAACATGGCTATGGAGAAATGGAGACAATGAAGCATTATCATTTAGAATAAACTCAATATACTATTAATTTCATCCTTGGCAGTTTAGCTTCCCTTTCGTTTGTTATTTGATAGATTTGATAGATTTCTATACCTTTCCAGATTGTGACAAAAGCAACCAGAAATGCCATAAAAATTTAATAGCTTTTAAAACATAAAATGTAGATATACTTATAGTAGAACTGGTTTTCGTATTTTTCAACCACTTTGAATTAAATTGACTGGACTTTTCAAAGTACCCACAAAGCTTCAGAATGTATCTGACTTGGAGAACCAATGCCAGTGCGATTTGTGATTCCAGCTTCTTTAGGTACTTAACAAATCAACCTCAGTGTATTAAATGCATAGCATAAAAATATTTTTTAAATTACTTTTTAAGGTACTTCTCAAAGCCTGAAACAACTTTCGGAGTAGCTCTGATTAACGAGCTCACACTATCAGATATTGTTGTATTGTTGTATGTTACTCATTCTAACCAAGTAACTAATAAAAGGAAAATAATTGACCTCACTCATGGAGACAGACAGAAGTCTATTTATGTCATTGTGATGGTCAGTAACAAAGAAACCCATGTATGGGTAGAGACAATCATATCTTCATACTGAGAGACATGCTGTTTCCCTCCGCAGACAGAGCTTTGTTATACACTTTTCATATCTGAATGGCAGAGGTACTAGGTTGCATAGAAGAGAATAAAGGGAAATCACCAAAGAACATTTTTTAAGGTGATGTTTAAACTTCCAAGATACTTTTTCCAGTCACCGATGCTATTTTCCATCTGCATGTGACTTAAACTGCAGGCAGAATTTTCTTAAGGTAAAATTCCAGTTAACACCTGTGAGAGTCCAGACTAAATAACAATTTCAGGATTTAGGCTTTACATCATAAGGGCATTGGAAAACGTCCTGTATTTCATACTGTGCTGAGCACAATGACAATGCTTCAAAGGTAATAGAATATTAAGACTTACATGAGTAAAATAATATTTTAAACGTTTTGTGGTAAACATATTTGGTGTTTTAAAGAAAACTTACCTATATAGAGATTACGCTCAGAAATCAGGCAGCATCTCCCATCCCGAACAAAAAAGGCATTGACTACTACATCCAATAAGGATTTATATTCTATGCATCCAGCTAGTGTATCCATCACAGATTTTCCTTCCGTCACATTAAGAGTCTATAGAGATACAAAATTAACAATGATTAATGTATTCTGGAAAGAAAATGTTAGTTGTGTACAAAAAGAAGTACAATCATTTTGGAGTAATTGGAAAACATGATTAATGAACAGCAGTGCCTTTGGTAGGGCTGATGCAGTTCTAATGCTATCATGTACGGGCAGTCCTGACAAATTAATGGCCCTTGTTAAGTAAAATGTAAACTTCCCCAATGTTATACTCAGTTTACCTGCTGACATACACCTTTAGTTAAAAGGCCTTGATGTGTGAATGTCAACAGTTAATGCAAAGAAAATTTGAAGTCTCTGAGCTATGGGCAATGATTAACTTAGTCAACAGTATGAGAAAGTTTCAGTAAGAGTTTGCTTTTCCAGTAGGAAACCTGTTCTTTGTAGATGAAGTCTGTGCTACTTGGGACACTAAATTGAGGGGAGAAGCAGGACAGGGATTATGGAAAAGACTCTTAACTGCTACTGTAACCTAATATTGGAGAATATGACTATTTAAAACTAAACCTGTGCGTGCCAGGATTCTTGTTAGTGCAGACTCTGTGTTTCTTATCCAGCTGTGCTCTCGGTCATGTGCAATGTTCATGCAGTACCACAAGAGAACAGAAAAAGGAGGGTCAGATGCCCACTGCATGCCATTTGGACCCTACCCTTTAAATTTGAAGTTTGAATGTTCTTGAACTTTGCAGAGAGTTTCACTCATAATAAATTACCTGTGGAGTATCTGTTATTACATGAGATAAACTTCTAGTGTGAACCACCTTTAAAAACATTGCAATAAAATCTGAGGCCCAGAACAGTTTGTATTGCATGAACTGAAAAAGGACAGCCACGCTATGACAAAATGACAAACAATAATGATTCTTTGACTTCAGGAGGTTAGCCAAGAAGCCAAGAAAAAAGCTAAGTGCATCTTCCGTTAACATGTAGTCCACATCTGATATATGATCTCTCCCACAGCTCTGAGATGTGGGAAGAACTGAACTGCAATAATATATCAGATCAGAGGTTCACCTTGCCTAGTAGGCTATCTGCTAGCATCTTGATCACTCTATTTTGCTAATGTGATTAATTTTTAGTTTAAAAGTATTATTAGAGGCTGCTGGAAGGAACTATGTGAGTCTTCTGATGTATGACACTATATAGGGCTTTGAGACTGAGAAAATACAAGGCAAAACTTTAAAATCACAGTTCTAATTTTTAAATGTAAAAAATGATACAGAAGTGTTCCAAGTGTATTTTCTCAGGTTGTCATTCAGAGTAAGCATAATTCTTTTTTACTTACTCCTGCTCACAAGCCAGATTTCATTTCTTCCAATTTGTGCATCATCACTAGAAAAAAAATAGTGCCTCCATATAATTGTCTCCATATACACGTATATTTATATATGCATATACACACACACGTATGCAGGCAAAATTACACCTACATACATCCTTGTAATTTCTTTACTGCCATTTCTTTACTACATCTGACTACCTCTCTAGCAGAACTGTAATAGACGATATCACTAACGATGCACATACAGAAACAGAATCAAGCTCAGTTTGTGGGGTTTAGGTCCTTAAGGCTAATAATAGTTAAAATGATAGAAAAGCTTTATTTCTATAACTGAAGTAATCAGATATGACTCTGAATATATTCTGTGACCCAGATATGTTGGGTAAGAAGAAACAGAGTGTAACCAAACTAATCATTCCATGGAGACATGGAAGCTTCACAAAGTCTGCTGGGCAGCGCTAGAGACAGTGCAAATAAGCAGGATATCACCTACATTCTTAATCAGGGCTCTAGAGAAAGAAGAACCAACAGGTTGTGGTTGAGATGGGAGAAAGATAAAGGGGAATGCTTTTGAGAAAATGGAGCCAGCTAGAGTGAGGTGGCAAAGAAGGAGCAAAGAGAAAGGAGTGAGAAGGGAGATAAGGGAAAACAGGAAATACAGAAGGGCTTAGATGGAGGATGGACACAAATGGAAGAGCAGAGGGAAGAGACTGAACACATCTGAAAATACACAATAAAAATCAATTTGCTGTGAAGCACGGACTTCATCTTGCTAAGCACCGAGAATCCTTGTGAAGCACACAGTCCATTCCAAATATACCTTTTCTGGATGAAGATTTATGGAAGTTCTTTCATAAAACTGACAAAGAAAATCCAGAAATCTAACCCCCCACCAAATGTTCAAATATATATCCCATACTTGAGATATCCGAGAATTCACCACAAAAGGCAAAAGCAAACCTAAATACCTCAACGGCAAAGTGAGAGAGGATGACATAGTTCCAGTAAAAGCAGGATTGTGACATTTTGAATCTAAAACAGTTGGTCCCCTTGAACAAATGCAGTTGTTCACGAACAGATCAATCTGCAGACAACAGTAGCTCTGATGATAAACAGGAAGTCTGTAGTAGAACTGGACAAGCCCACTGGAAACAAGCCCAACAAAAACTCTCACAACTACCTCTGCTAGAAAGCTAGAATATAAATTGTTTCCAAGATCTTTATTTGATTTGATCTTTATTTGATTTGATCGTTGCATTCACCTTCTGAGTACTTTGCTGTATCATACATGTATAAAGTGCTACAACAAACCAGGGCTTTTCAAATGTACTTTGGAGAGATGACCAGAAGTAGACAAACAGATAACAAGACAACACCAGTGCCCAAATCATATATCCTATACAGTTCAGACTACAGCATGAAAATGCAATTGCCTATTTACATTTACTCTACTTCTTTTACTGTTCTGAGTTAACAAGTCAGTCAGAAGTTACTTGTTAGGACAAATGCAGAAATAAGTGCTTACTCTTGCTTACTCCTTGATCAAGAAAGTACATAACCACTACATGGCCTCGAGCTAAGCAATAAGGTGACAGGAGGTGCAGCCTGGGGAGAGCTGTGCCCCAGAACATCAGTACCAATTGGTAATTCTGTGGACCACGGGCCAAAAATTCTTGTCATGAAATATTATCAATTGAATCTGCTTTCAATTACAAATGGTACTAAGTGTTCCATTTCTACATATAAAAATTGAGAATAGCTAAGCAGCCTGCAGCTGTGTCATCTAAGGAAGTGACCGCATCAGAACTCATAATAAACTAAACAAGACTGGGCAGGATCAGTACTTGGATAAGAAATCTCAAAGGTGAGCCAGTTGTTGGTTAAGCCCTGCTGATAATCTAGTGAATCAAAAACTGAGCCAATGCTTTACAACAGTTAAGATACTCTCTGCATAGAAAGTGCATTGTGTCCTCAACAAATTTTATCAAGGATATTTACAGTTTATCTGCATATCTGAAATCATAATTGCTTTGGGAAAGTAGTAGGTTGGGTAGGTGTCACTTCTAGCACTAATTCCTAGGTGCATTCTTTCTGTGTGGCTTCATGTTGCATGTTATGTCACTGGGAAGTATTTCAGAAGTGGGTCAGATGATCCTGAAACAGTACAATATGATGACAAGTTGTACATTTATAGCACCTTTTGTATAAGGTTCTCAAAGCACTTTACTAACATTAATTGCATTTAATGAGATTCCTTTTGGCTAATATTATTTTGCAAATGCAGGAACGATGGTATGGAGCAGATAAGAGATTTGCCCCAGACGACACATTAAGTCATTGGTGGCAACAAGAAAAGAATTAATAAACGCTAATTTGTGAGCCTTTGTTCTGTCCATCAGCCCATCTTCTTACCTTTTCAAGTATACTTTACCTTATATATTTCTCTGAAAAAACTAGCAGTTAGCCACATTTGCAAATATGCTGTGTGAGTCCTTCAGCATGAAGAAGGCCAGATAATTTACAGGTGAAAGTAACACATTGAGCTACCATCTTCTGTTGCATCGAATATTGGAATTTATCAGAAGACAAAATAGATCTTGAGCAATATGCCTATTCTGTGCTCAGGAAAAAATCTCTCTATCTCTAATGTTACAGCTTATTATTTTTTGTTTTGTTGTGTAAAGCATAGTAAGTTTATGGTAGATGAATACTGGATGGTCCTATATTTTTAATGTTTGGAAGCCTACATATTACTGTGTTGGCCAATGGTTGCACTGAATATAAGTAAAATACAGTTATATGTGTTCACAATGTCATTCCCATACAAATATGTGAAAGTGCGCTCTCTATGACATTGAATTTCAGCTTTTTCTGATTACCAAGTGTTTAAGTTGTAAAAGAATGATCCTGACTGAAATTATCCTGAAAGATCCTGTGAAAAAGATGCAACTCATGTCCAAATATGTGCTGATTGGTGTCATCTCCCCCTTTTGAGAAATCCCTAATGCCCTTAGCCTGCTTCCATGGACATATTTTCCTTGCTCCCTGACACTTAGCTGTAACTGGGAACCAGTCAAGTTTCAAGGAGAGAAGAGATTGTGTAAGAAAGCGTAAGTATAGGACTTTGTACACAAACAACTTTCAACATGTGTTAGTACAAGAAATAGCATTAATTAAATGGAGAAGTATCTGCAAAAAGCAAGCTTTGCCACTGTGGCTATATGGTAGTAAGGATGGTTACAATGAGACCTGTTTAAGAGCCAGAGAGATCAGAAAAGGATAGGTAAGGAAAGAAAGAAAAGCTCTTGTTTCTGGAGAGAAGGAAGGAAAGCAACATCAGCCATGCCCTGTTTGAGACTTCTCAGTATAGGATTTAGTTTAAGGTGAAACAAACATTTTAGAAAGAAGATAATATTTGATTAAAAGATAAAATAGCTTTCACCTCCTGAGAGAACTGAGTAGTACTATGTACTGAGCTTGTCTACTTCTAGGCAGAATATGCACATTTTGCAGATGCAGTCTGATTAATTTATAGTGCTTCAGATATCAGTGCTAGTCCTCTCCAAGGGTCTAATCAAAATGCTGTGGAAATGAAAGAAAATATTCCTATTGGCTTCACTGCGTTTTGAATCAGTCACCAGAACCCAGTCCTCTTTTCCT